ATCTTTAGCCACGTTTTCGAACAAATAGTTTAAATGCATTGCTTTTTCAGAATCAAATATATTTACAAAGTTGTAATAGACATATTCATTAAGGCAGGATAAAATATATTATGTTCCATCAGCATAATACTTATAAATCTTTAAACACTGACATCAATTAAATAAAATTTTGTAAAACTTCTGTCTTCTTATTTTTCATTATAATGTATTATAGGAGAAATGAGGTCCCAACTACCGGAAATACCTTGTAGCTTCCGCATAATTTTATTATTTAAATTAATGACAGTAATGGAGTTTTCATCAAAATGGACAGTAATGGAGTTTTTGGCAAAAGGAAAATCGAATTTTGTGTCCTGACTAGGGCCTGACTGTGTGACTGGGAAAATTAGTGTTAATAATGTGATTACTGTAAAAAGTAAATTTAACAAAACAATATTTTTAACACCGAATACGGGTTTTAAAACAGAAAAAAAAAAAAAAAAAATCATTGTATTATAATTACAAGAATGGTCAGCTTACTCTCTTCATTAAAAATGGTACATGTGATAGTTGTGATTCTGTTGATTGCAAAGAGTAAAGAGTAAAAAGAGTTGATTACAAAAACGTAATTATTTATATGCATAGTGGAAAAGTACTTTGCTTTAAATCTATGCTTGCATACAGTTAAAGTTAATTGCCTACTTATAAACATAATTTCTTTAAGCAATAATACTATCAAACGCATGGTATGAAACTGGTACCTATGGTAAGCAGTTGATTTTTTGGCCTGAGTTAAAACCGTATGCTTACCGACGTAAATGAATAATGCATTCCATTTCTTCGATTAAGATTTATATTTCAAGAAATGACTCGAATGAAAGTCCCTTCTCTTTGGACAAGAGTGAAACAAGAGTAATCTGTTAACAGTCTCTGAAAAAGAAGTAGATTTACTTCTTTCTTTGTACCAACCCCCTGAAGACGACGCAGCGAAAGATGTAAATTTCCCATTTCATTTTTGATTTTGGCATTTGTTCTGTCTCCTATTCTTTGTAGTTTACTGTTGCACTTCTGGTTTTTCGGTTTTTGCACGTGATTTATTTCGAATTGAATATGTGATGAATTTGAAACGCATTTTTTAATTTTGTTTGCATTATTACCGCCACTTGTTGCTGCTGTCAGCACGCAATTGGATTAGGTTTTGAACCGTTTTATACTTTATATTTATTCTTTTATATATCTAATCCTATAAAGCAAAACAGAAATTTCAGAACGTTTAGCGACATACCAAAAATTGTCTTGTAAACCTCTTTTGGATCATGACTTGGTCACGACCCAAAAGAGGTTGTAAGATGGAATCTCAAGGAACTTGATAAACAGTGGCCTATAACTAAATCATCAGTGGCCTATAACATCATAAAACAGGAGTTTTATGATGTATTTAGTGATACAGAATAAATCGTGTAGGAGTAACATTATGTTGTAAATGGCGCAAAAATAATCAAGCATTTTTTTTTTTTTTTTTTTTTTTTAGGAAAATGGAGGGTAGGATAGTTTAGGAACCACTAATCTTGAAGGAATAAATAATTAAAAGTTAGTAATTTATTTTGATTAGCCCAACAGAGGCGTTAGGCAAGAAGGGCTATTAATCGCGTAACGTCATTTTGCATCGAATAACTAAAAACGTTAAATAATTTTAATTCAGTTTATATTTCAGATAGCATATTAAACTTTAAACTAAATTTATTGTATATAAAGTTATAAGGTATTTCCTTCCTCCTTTTCGCATGCCTTCGCTGTGTAACTGGAAGCACACTCGACCCATATTGTCCAGGTTTTGAATCTCGGGGCGCGAAAGACTGTCTATCGAAAAATTTAAAGATATACTGTTTTTAAATATTTTTAGCCCAAAGAGACATTAGCCGAAATGCTCTAGAAACGTGTATGTGTCTGTAAATAATAATAATAAAAAAGTACGTTTAGGTGTAATATACAATCCCGAAAGCTTTCAGATTTTTTTATTGTTATTCCCCTCTCCGCTGTGTCAAAAGATGCGAGTATAATGAAAGTAAAATCATATGCAAATTAAACAATTTATAAAGAAGAATGGTTAATTTTAATTACAAAGCTGGCTACTTATCGAAGAAATTCAAAAGAATTCTTTGAAGATCCATTACGATGCTTTCTTTGATGGTTTAATCATGACTGAAATATGTTTCCTACACTAGGGTTTATATATACGAGAGTTGGCAATGAACGCTTAGCATAAAATTCATTGTAAATAATTTCAAGCAACATACGATTAAAAGAATAATAAATAATTATTTTATAAATTATTCTCAATATAAATATCGAATTTAAGAAAGCAATTTTACAAATCAGGTCTTAAAATACATAAAATTTGATGCACCTTTTTCAGTTCTAGGCTTAAAAAATATAACATTAGAAAAAGAAAACAAAACTTAAAATTTAAAAATTATAGTTTTTCACCTCTTTTATAAAAAATTTGGCATTAGGCCAAATTAAAATTTTTAAAGCAGGGATGGCAAATTTCTCTTCTGTGGTAGAAAAAACTGTCAGAAGAAATGAATTTTTCAGCGAGAAAAAGAAATATTTTAAATTCCACATGTATTTATATATTTAATTATTAAATTGATAAATGATTTAGTTACATTAATTAAGCCTTATCTCTGTAATTTAATTAAGATTAATAATGAATAATAATAATCATTCAGATTCTCTGAGTTTAAAATATATAATATAATGAACTAAAATATGACATATAATAAAAACCGGATTCATAAAATCAAAGTGCATAAAAAGGTGAAATGTACTTTTTTACTCAAAATTGTATGAGTAAAAAAATATTGCTTCATGAAATTTTTATATAATCCGTACCAATGGTATTTATGTTACTATAGCAAAATTAGAAAGAGATAGCCTCCGTAACAGATTCTGTCTGAGACGTCTAGTTTTGTAAATGACCGTCTTGGTGTAGAGTTCTTTTATTCAGAAATACTGAATAATAAACTATTATGTTTCTGCCGTGTTAGGTAACGAACAGTAGTTTCTTATTATTCCGTTGTAAAGCATTTATTTATTCTAATCAACCAGTTATTTTATGTTATGCAGCTCTACTGTCACTTTTCGCTTTCTTGCCAGAATGCTAATTTAAGTTGGTGCGTATTTAAATGAGGGAGAAAAAGGTAGTATTTAAAGGTATTTAAAGTTTTAGATTTTTTAGATAGAGCATGTTCCGCCAGCTGAAGGTCACATTATTAGTTGATATTCTACGTTAGCAGTCTGTCTTCGTTGCTTTATTCTTTCCAATAGTGCTTTTCGCGCCGGTTTCGGTTACAGCCATCTTGCGCGCTAATCATTTCTGTGTACTTTGGTCTAGTTTAAGATTTAGCTTAGTTTTAATTTGAAATTCCTTACTTTTGAGTTACGTCCGAAATGCTGGCTGATTTTGGAAGCACAAGAACTGTCTTCTGTTCAACTATACTGAGTATACTGTTTATACTGAGTTCTTAATTAAAAGGGTCTTTTACACACTTCTTATGTTCTGTGACTTTATCTAGACGTAGAGATAATTCGCTTATGTCTTCACAAGTCTTGACTTTGTGGATGCTACCTAACAGAGAGAGACTCTACACCGTTTTGAATCAAACATCCAAGACGGGGAATTTTTTTTTTTTTTTTCTTTCTAATTCTTTTTTCTCTTTAAGGCAAAGCACACGAGGGCTAACTGTCTGCCTGAGGGAAAGGAGTGCATTCGTGGAGGAAAACTGGCTCCTATTTATGTTACACATGAGGGAAAATGCAAAAGCTCTCATATAGCCAGCCCATTCGCCAAGATGCAAGACGGAAAAAGTAGAGGAAATAAATTTTGTGTTCAGCTATGGCATCACTAAAGAATATTTCAAAACTGTAGACTTAGTTTGAAAGCAAACTCGAATATACTACTTTTGGAGTGGGGAATCTGTAGTAAAAGTAATTTAGTGTTTTATTTTGGATAGTTTCTTTATATGCTTACTTCTAATATGTAACACAAAATAGAGGATGAACATTTTGTATGATAACTTTGCGTGTTTCTATTGTATGGATGACAACACCTGAACAAGTGAAACTATGGGAAAAAAATGACATATATAATTCACGGCTATTATTTGTTATCTGAAACAACATATCACATGTTCGTCTCATGACATACTGTTTTAAACGTAAGTTCTAGAAAATCATAAAATTGCTCTTGCGTTGAGCGAAAACACACTATTAAATTTTGTCTAAGTTTTACAAGATTAACTGAAGCTTTAACGAAATGTTTTTATACATTTTTTTTTTCAAAGGTAGAGAGTTAAAATCTCATTTAAAACTCATATTTGCAGATCTTTATGTCATCCCCCCACCGACTTTAAACTAATCCATCTCAGTCATAAAAAGAAATTGCTCAAAATGTATTTGCTTTCGTTTCCCTTTGCTTTAAAAGTTACAACTGAATAGAGGGAGAATATAAGAAGATGCATTTGCAGTGCTACTTCCGAATCCCTTTATCAAATCTGTTTCCTCCTAGAGCTAGAGGCAATTAAAAAAAGTAACCAGTGTCATTACAATGGTATATTGCACTTATTGTATCACCCCTTGTTGATGCTTTGCTATGACAACAAAAGTTCGCGTTTTCCCCTTTTCAGTGCGCTCACGAATCGAACAACTAAATCTTAAAACGTGCAAAAGATTGTATTGCTGTTAAAAAAAGAGAAAAGCGGATATAAAAAATAAAACTAAAAAAGTAAATGTGCTTTCAAAATAAATAAATAAATAAATAAATAAATAAAGAGGCCAGAATTATTGCATGTCGCGTGCAGTTGTTACTTTTGCATTTATTCGTACATACTTTTGAACAGTATAGCATTTACGAGAATGAGAACGACAAAACAGGAGTTTCGTCTCTGTTAAGCGATCCTATTGATGCATTTCACTTAACAGAACGGTCAGTATGCTACGAGCAACAAAAAGAGCACTGAATCCATTAACTTGTCGCTAGTTGAGATTTGAAGCACGCTAATAAATACGCTTTCTGGTGTTCGAAAAAAAGTTTGACGGCTACACTTAGCGAGAATGAATTATATTTTCTAGGAAGGAATTTACTATTTAAAAGCAATATTTCTTTCAAAAGCCTTCGCGAAAGGCATTATAACTGGACATAAACTGAAGCAATGCACATCTGTCATGCATGCAAAGAAGCACGTTTCGAATGCTTTGAATTAACCGAAAAGCAAGTGATGGCCTTACAAATATGCTTTGCAAGTTTTGCTTAAATTTCTTTATGTTAAATATATTTAGTAGAAACAGAGTGTGTAGAAACTGTGTCAGAATTTTCATTTTGGTTAGCACTATTGGAATTTCGTTTTCAGTGTGGGCTTAGTCTTCTCAAATTTTCCATACAGTGCTGTCCATTCTTTGTGCCATACTAACCGTCACCATGAATATTAGGTACATCGAAATAGCTTTTCTTATTTTGGCATACTGGGTTCATTTGCTTCAAACTAAGAAAATCAACAGCCCTCTAATGCGTGCTCGGAGAGACTTTGATCTAGAGGCTGTGCCTGAAACGTGCGACTTCGGTTCTGTAATCCGGTTAACAATGTGTTATTGGAATGTGCCCGAAAACATTACTGCCGGTAACATTCATTGGCGAACTGGAATGGGTGTTTCCTCGTACTGGATCGGTGGGCCTAGGACTGACCACACTGGTGCAGATAAGAACAGCGGTTATGTTTTCTACGAAACATCTGAATTAGCAAAAGAAATGGAATTGCATAAGGATGCAAGTCGGTTATTAAGTCCCATGTATAACCATACTGGCCCATCTGGACTGTGCCTTTCTTTTTTTTACAATATAAATGGACTGAGTGCCAAATCTTTACGAGTTATACTCCGCAATTCTCTTGGAGCCGAAACCATCCTTTGGGAAAGCAAGGATAGATCTGATGGTTCTTGGTATCTGGGTGATGTAGCATATAGCTACGGAGATAAACATCAAATTTTATTCGAAGCTGTGCCAGTTAATCAGTCGCAAAAAAGGCTTACTTACAGGTAAGGGAAAGGTTAAAAAAAGTAGAATTTAATTGTCATTGCGTAGACTTTTTTACATTTTTAATTATTAATAAAACAAAATTATTTATTAAATCAGTTTCATTGCATTAGTAAAGTATCATCTAACGCTAGTATTTCTTTTTGTTACTATCAGGGATTTATTGAAATAATATAGCTGTAGAAAGAATCTTACGACCAATAACTTTTGCAATGAAAGCAGATAACTAGTTCAGTGAGAAAAAAATAAAAAGTGTGAAGACATACTATATTTAATGATATGTTTCTTAAATATTAGGTAATATTAATATTATTTTATATATATTATTTATATATATTATTTAAATATATTTGTATAATTTATTGTATATTATTTAAATTTTCTACATGCCAATATATATTTTAGTAATAATTCAAAATTGATTTTTTTTACGGTATAAGTGAATAGAATTGAAATACATGGCCAGTTTTCTTTATCTTAAAAAGAGTTAACCGCAAAAGAAAATAGAGTTATTTCTGAATGTGTTAACATAAACTTTATACTAATCATACTACAATCTATAAAATATATTACTCCAGTTGTTTAGATAAAATATGAAAGAGCTGTTTCATGCATTGTAAGTTTTGTTCAGAGAATTTTCTATTTCATTCGCTAATCTCAGATATGGCAACCAATAAACAAATTTTGAAGAATAGACGTAAAGAATATTACTTTTGTATATTTCTTTCTGCTTTGAGATTCTACGATCTAAAAATAGTGATGAACGAGATATAATGCAATTATTTATTTATGAGAACCCTAAAATTTTTCGCATAGCCCACACTGACATGAAAATAGTTTTTTTGCCGCTTGCTTGTAACGACGTACTAGAAGCTTTTAAGATTTTCGGTGAAGGATACATGAAAAATCAGCTATGCTCCAGCCGAGGTATGAACCACGGATTTTGCACTTCTTAGCTTAGATGTCGCTTACAGCAAGAAAGCATGCATAAACGAATGCGAGAAATTCTTATGTACTTAGCAAATTTATAGAGTTTGGTATTCTTCGGTAGCATAAACTTGTATCAAACTCCTAACAGACTTGGAGCGGATTGTTGCTTCGTCTAGAAAGAATATTCAAAAGGTCTAAAACAACATTTTTATTAAATCAGAACTTTAAAACAAACTTATAATTCCTGCTTGACAAGCTCTGACACCACTTACGGCGAGGTACTCGTAATTTAAAAGGACATTCCAATTCAAGATTTAAAAATTAGTAGCCAAAGGCTACACAACAGATTTAACGCGAAGTAGGCTCAAACTTCTCACCGGCATAACAATTTAAATGTCGGCAGATATGCGCCAAGCCGAAGAACTATAATCTATCAGAGCTAGCGAAACTTAATAACATAGCTTCGAAGGTAAAAACACTCTCTGTCTTTCAATCCGAAACACCTCATCTAAAATGTTCTAAAATTCAATTTGCATTCAAGTGGGGAAACGGAAAAACGAAGTGACGGGAAATATCTAAATGATAATAGTTGATTAGATTAACATAATAGAACTTTACAAATTTTAGAATTCGCATATTTAAATAAATGCTTCTCATCATTTTCATTGTATTTACGATTAAGATGAAATTTTTATGTCGTACTTTGATAATTTAAAATATAATAATATAAATATTAATAAAATTAATTAATATATAAAAGTAATCAATATATTAATTAGTATAAATATATATCTGTATATTAAAATATTAACTGAATTGTTTGAAATATTGTTAAATTATTTAAAATATTGATTCATACATATTAATTATCATTCATAAAACACCACAAAAATTCCAAAAAACAGCAATATTTTAAAAATTTTGATATATAAAATCTGTGGGGAATGTAGAAGCTCTGATTGCAAATTTGAGTTTCAGTGTAACATGTTATAATAAAAATACGATAAATATTTCATGTATTCTAAACTTCCTTTACCAATGTAATCAAAACGTGGAAGGAATGGTTAACGGTACTCATCTAAAAAGAGGGCTGTATTTGCCCCTCATTAGGAATTGCTTACTAGGACACAGCAGAATTTTCCTCGGAATCGAAGATGTAGATTCTTACTGTAATTAAACACTGCACTGTAAAACAGATGTTTAGTAGTCTCAGTGCAAAGTATTTTCTTTGCTAAATGTTAATTCTTTACACTTTTTTTTTTTTTTTTAAATTTTTTAATTTTTCTTTATTTCTTAATTTTTTAATTCTTTACACTTTTTTTTTGTAATAAGTATATATTACTTGATTAAGGCTGCTTTCAAATGCTTACATGTTTTCTTCCTAGAGGCTATGTCGCTCTTGATGACGTACGATTTGATACCATGCCAACTAAAGAAGCATGTATTGGACACTGCACTTTCGAGGGAGGTTTTTGTGACTGGGAAAACATGGAAGAGGACGATTTTGATTGGGAACTGGGCCGTGGAAGCACTAGTTTTCATACTGGTCCACCGAGAGATCACAGCAGTTACGGGAAAGATGAACAAACAGGAGGTACGTTACTGTTCACTGCAACAGTTTAAAGTCTAGATAAATTCTAAATGATTTGTCAATAAAATGACTCAGTTAGTTGGAAGAAAACTATAAGGGTTTGAAACCGAGACGATTTCACATCACAATTCAGAAAATTCACAGTATAAATATAAATGGCAAGCATTTATAATTAAGTAGAAATAAATAAATAAAATATTAGATTCCAACGAGAAACTCGTTTGCTCATTTCATAAATAATTTATAACATGAATGCTAAAATATTCCTTGAAAATTTTAAGAATAGTTTCAAGATTAGGGGAATTAAAAATGTAGTTATTATTTTTAAGTAGATTTCTTAAACCATTTTTTATTTATATGTTTATCTAATTTCTTATGCATAAACAAGTTATTGTATGAAAGTTTGTATAAAAAGCATTGTATAAAAGTATTTTTTTTTTAATTCACAGAAGAAGAAAGCACTTTTTAGTTTTTCATAACAGGTGACTTTCATTCCTTTGAACGTAAATATTAAGTTTATAGGGTTATTTTTTAAAAATACTAAAATGTAGCCGCCACAGCCCTCACAGGCGTACTGAATATCTTTCATCTTCGCCTACAAGCATCTATTTTTAAGCTTACCAAAGACATCTATAAGCTTGAACAAACTTATGATTCGTGCTTGACAAGCTCTGACACCACTTATGGCGAGGTACTCGTAACTCTATTACAGAAGAGTTCGCCTAGTTCTACAGTTTTGTGTAAAATACATTACTGAAAATGCAGTCGATTGTAAAAAGACGTGAAAGCCGCCGAAATTCATAGGCAGATTTCTGAAATATAGCGTGACAAAGCTGTGACCGATGGAATGGTAAGAAAATGGGTTAAGTAATATAAAAATGGTAGTGCAGTTGTACACCATCAGGACAAAGTGAGCGAACTGTCCGCCATTAATGATGACTTGATCCAGAAAGTTGACGAAAAAGTTCGAGGAAAAAAAAAAAAAATGCTTCAAGATTTCATCATTATCTAGGAAGCTTTAAAATACTTCACTATCGCATTGTGACGTCACATCAACATCACAGTAACGTTGTAGTAATATCACATCAGCATTGCTACAACCTACACACGAGGTCACTGTGATGTTGGCGCATCATTGCAGTTGTCGCACTCTGATATGTTCGCAATGTCACAGGGAGGTTTTCGTACTGATGGTGCATCTATAAGCACATATCAGGAACCAAGCGCATTGAAAAAATGCCATAAAGTGGAAAGCGCAGACATTGCAACTGTGAGGAGGAGCCACAGTCTTCGTATTACATCTCGAATTTCTATCACTTCTATGATTTCTGAAGACCATTGACCGTGGCTTTGAAACAGGCATAATTGTTTTGAGCGGAATTTCGGAGAGCTCTAGGTCATTGGCTTAGTATATACATAAACACAAAGCGGTGAAAAATTAAACTGTACGAGCAAATTTACTGTGGCTGCCATAGTATTTTACTCTTCTTTTGCAACCAGCTGGGACTATAGATGCTAGTCCCAGCTGGTTGCAAAAGATTTCCGACAGGCGGATAGGAGATTTACTATAATGTGGTGCTTACATGTGGTTGGAGGAAACATGAAATGGAGAGATACAAAATATTTTTAAGCCCTTGATGTGCACAGAAAAAGGACAATGGAATAAGAATATAAAAGAAGTGCAATACAAATTAGATACTAAAGAAGAAGGTATGTACAGGTGCAGTCACAATGCAGATTAATATGCAGATTTGTGATGAACTGTGCGTGGGCGAGGCATTTTCAGTGGAAGGATCGTAGTCAACTAACTGACCAATATGAACGGGAGTAATTAGTGTTCAAAATTTTGCTGTAGACGTTACGAGAACTTGCAAGAATATAATCTTGCGCATGCGGAATTTCAAGACCTAGGTAAAGTCGTTGATTTAGGCCAAATCACGGCGCGTTAGTAATTGCTCTCATAATTTTGTTTTGAAATATTGCGAGTTTCATCCTATAAGTTTTGAGCGCTGTGTCCACACTGGGACAGCATAGAATAAAAGAAGATGAATTGGAGTGATATATCTGGTTCTTTTGATGCGTAAATATAATTTTGATTTTCTCCCAGTGAGACAGTAAATCGCCATACAAGCAGCGTTAGTTCTCTTTAAGACAGAAATTCCGCGCTCTTTGAAATTTAATTGTTCGTCTAAAACGAATCCTGAATAGGTTGCCTTGGGTTTTCCCGGATTTTAGGAATGTAAAGAGTAGTGAAAACTTGCAGGGATTATTAAAATCCGGGTAAAAACTCATGGCAGCCTTCTAGTTATTGTCCGATTAGCCTGCTTCTCTGCCTGGGAAAGAGTTTTGAACGAATTACGCACAGATGATTGACGCAAAAAACCTTGAAATCAACGACTTTATTAATAACAACTAGTTTAGATTTACACCACCATCATGGAAATTTTGAATGTCGTAGAGACAGTAAGTAATTGATACATTAATGAATAGCGTTTTGTTAAGTTAGAATATAGCGCCACCTATTGGATAGGGAGAGAAACTCTCACTTGGCCATCTGGATTCGGCTAAGCAACATGCCAGAGCATGTATTAGATCTGAATAGTTAATTACTGTAAATAAATTAGTTAGTTCTTTTGCTATACAGTCCACTTATTAGTTTAGAATCATAGTACATGGTCAGCAGAGCCGGAGAAGTGAACAAAATGCTGGCATTAGATAGAACAAAACTTCGTTAAAAGCGAAAACTAACTAGGTTAGAAAATGTAGTGAAGGAATATGATGATAGTTCGAATAAGAATGAAATTCAAATAAAGTATAGATTGCTACAAAGCATTCAAATGGATATTAGAAACTTGAGGATTAGATATTTCGAAAGCGTTGATGAAAAAGATGTCACAGACATCGATGAAGAAATCGCCGAAATGGAAGAAAGAACGGAAGTTCTAGAGGTAAGAATTATGGAAATTCTATCATCTATAGCACATTCTGAAAATGAAAATGACTGTAGTAAATTTGATCCTAAAGTACAAATACGTTTGCCAGAATTACCAATTCCTAAGTTTTCTGGTAAATATACCGATGGAATAATTTAAGATTCAATTCGAAAACATCATAGCGAATAACACGCAATTAACAGAAGTTTCAGAAACTCTACTATTTAAAGGCTGCATTAAATGATGAAGCAAAAAATCTGAAACTGTTGATATACTTTTAGTTCTCTATTTAAAGCTCTTCAAGATAGGTATGAAAATAAAAGAATATTAATTGAGACGCATATAAAAGTCAATAATGGATTTACGTATTTTAACATTCGAATGTCTAAAGGAATAAGATATGTAATAGATAATGTTACTAAAAACATTAGGGCTTTGAATGTTTTTAAAATATGAGAAAAATAATTTATCGGATATTTCTGTTATTAAATATCGTACTTCAGAAACTAGATTTTGAAACGCGCAAACAATTTGAACTCAAGAATTTAATGCTACGGAAGTTCCTACTTTTGATGAATTAATTTCGTTTTTTTAGAGAAAAGATCCAGTTATTGGATAACATTAACCGTAGTAACTAAAAATGAAATATCCGTTAGAAAAAAATTCGAAATCAAAGGCTCTGATGGTTAAAACCGATAGTGTTTCGATTTGTGTTATATGCAAAAATAATAATCATCCACTGCATAAATGTGATTCATTTTTGAAATTAAATCCAAATCAAAGATATGAAATAGTTAAAACCCATAAATTGTGTCTAAACTGTCTCAGTAACGAGCATTTAATCGCAAAATGCAATTCTAAGTTCAGGTGTTCGGAATGCCATAAAAAACACCATTCATTAATACATCGCCTGCTCAGAAATGGCGCCATCGAACATAAGTTAGACAAAACAAAAATGGAATCAGGGAGTGACGAAATTATAAACAAGAACGCATATGTCTCTAATAAAAATCAATCAAGTTGTCTTTTGACACGCAGAAAAAACGTCTTATTGGCGACTGCAATAATATATATTTGCAATTCCGAAGGAAAAAGAATCCCAGTTCGCGCAATACTTGATAACGGCAGCATGAGTTGTTTCCTGTGTGAAGGAGTTGCTAATTTGTTAAATTTAAAAAGAAAGAAGAATTTTGCATCTGTATCGGAATTAATGAGAACGTTTATAAATATTAATTATCAAACTAGATGTACAGATTTCGAATAAGGATTTAACATATGTAAGATCAGTTAATTGCTTGGTTATTTCTAAAATAACCAATTAACTCCATCAAGATGTTTAGATGTGCAGTCATTAAATATTCCCATTGATATTGAATTGGCGGATCCGCAATTTGGAATACCTAACAAAATAGATATGTTATTAGGGGCCGAATTGTTCTTTGAGATTTTAAAAGAAGGAAAATTTCAATTAGAAAATCAACCGTTGATATTCAAGAAACAGTTTTGGATATCGCGTCTGGTGCATGCAAGAGTGACTCAGAAGTAAATTATTGTGGTTTAGTTCTAAATAGTGAAGAAAGAGTTGAAGAAATTTTGCAAAGATTTTGGGAAGTTGAATCCATTGAAAATATCGAGGATGCTTTGAGTGAAGAAGAAAAATACTGTGAAGAACATTCAAGCGTACTCACTATAGACAAAATGATGGAAGATACGTAGTTCAGTTACCCATAAGGGAAGGTGTAGAATTAGGAGAATCGAAAACGCTGGCTGAGAAAAGATTGCATCAAGTGTGTAATCGACTAGAAAGCGATTCGAAGATGAAAACATTGTATAAGAATTTTATTAAAGAATATAAGGATCTAAATCACATGGAAGAAGTTCAAGAAATTGAAACATCGACTTGCAATTATCTTAGTCATCATGGAGTTTATCGGCCAGAGAAAGCCTCTACCAAGCTTCGCGTTGTGTTTAATGCATCCGCGCTGGCATTAGATGGAAATTAGATAGAAAATGCTGGCATTAGGTAGTAGCAATGGAAAGTCACTGAACTCAATATTAATAATATTGAGT